CAGATGTATCTCTCTAGCCCGCAGGCACCCAAGAAGTAAAAGTGGCTGAACTTCACACTTTCTAGAAGCAGCTCACTGTTAAGAAAATCCCAGAATTTTCTTGGTTATTTGGCTCTTACTATAATTCTATCAACACCCCCCATATCCTTCCTACAAATTTTTGTCTTTTGGTTAAGACAAAATCATTTTCTGTTTCATTAAAATCAAAGAACCCTAACTGCTAAAGCCTTGCATCGTTCTTTAAATATACTCATGACTTCAAATTCTTTTTTTAAACTACAGTATATTTTATATGTCTTTTGAATACTCCAAAATCCCTTGTGTATTATAAGATGCAAAAATGCTTTTCAAAAAATATTGGTTGAGTAATTCATAAAGCACTGCTTTTTTTTTTTTCCAGAATGTGATTTGCTCCTGATAGCAAGCTTGTGGGCAAGGAACATGACATGTAATTCCTTGGTTTCAATCTTGCCATCCCTAGAAGGGTAAATAGAAAAGCACTGCTCCCTCCTAATAGATGGATTGGAAGGGGTACCACTCCACTGACTATTTTTTATGCATTTTTCTTCTATCTCCAATGATTTCTATAATGTGATCACATGACCTCCATCTGCTTAGCATGTAATGGTCTACTCACAGTACCTGCATTAAATGAGTCTAAGCTGTGCTTATTTTCTTAATAGATACATTGCACTTCAGGCTCATATGAAATGTTTAGAAGACTTTCCTCAAATTTTTCTCTGAAATTCAGATAAACTGAATGGACTATCTCTGTTTGGCTTCATATGGTGAGTAGTTACCATTAGCTGGTGACCAGATAGGATATTGAAAAGAGACCCATGTTTTCTGTATCCTTCTTAATAAATCCATGTTAGAACCTAACGAATAGCACTATGTTTTATAATGTTTTGTGATCGTTTAGGAAGAAATATGTCTTAGAATGACTCAAAGTCAAATTAAAAGCCTATAACTTTCTCCTTTAGAAAGTTGTGATATTGTAACTCTGGTTTCCTGGAAATTTCTTCCCTCTGTATGATCTCTACAGAATGAATAATTTTGACATTACTGTAAAAAGTTTAGATTAATCTTCTCTGAAATCTCTTGAAAGTGATTCATTCAGCACGTCCAGAGGATTATACCGTGTTTTCAATCTAGGGTACAGGACGGATAGAATTGAATTGAACTGAGATGGGAACAGTTTAGAGGGAACAACATTTTAGGGGAAGATCAGTGACTGAACATGTTACTTTAGGATGCCTAGTGGATATCCAAGTGAAATGTCACATAGGGAGTTGTATAAAGAAGTGTAGGACTACAATAGCCAAAATGTGGAAAGAGTTCAGATGTCTATCAAAAGATGACTGACAAGAGGAGGGGCAGATGGCAGAGGAGTAGGGTCCCCAAGTCACCTGTCCCCACCAAATTACCTAGATAACCTTCAAATCATCCTGAAAATCTACAAATTCGGTCTGAGATTTAAAGAGAGACCAGCTGGAACGCTACAGGGAGAAGAGTTCACGCTTCTATCAAGGTAGGAAGACGGGGAAAAAGAAATAAAGAAAAAAAAGCCCTCCAAGGGGGAGGGGCCCTGCGAGGAGCCGGGCTGAGGCCGGGGCGAGTGTCCCCAGGACAGGAGAGCCCCGTCCCAGAGAAGCAGGAGCTGCACCAACCTTCCCGGGCGGAAAGGGGCTCGCAGGGAGTTGGAGCAGGACCCAGGAGGGCGGGGATGCCCTGGGCTCCCGGGGACACTAACAGACACCTGTGCCCCGGGGAGAGTGCTCAGGGCACCAGGACACAGCCCAGGATTCGGTCTCCCCCGGGACAGGCAGAGGCCGGGAGGGCCCAGGACAGCGAGGACACTCCTGCCCCGAGCTGAGCAGATCAGCGGCCCCGCCCCAGAGCCTTCAGGCCCTGCAGACGGAGAGCTCTGGAGCTACTGCGGGAGCTGACTCCAGGGCTGCAGAGCTGCCACCGCCACTGCGGTTGTTCCTCCTGGGGCCTCACGGGGTGAACAACCCCCGCTGAGCCCTGCACCAGGCAGGGGCAGAGCAGCTCTCCCAAGTGCTGACACCTGAGAATCAGCACAACAGGCCTCTCTCCCAGAAGACCAGCGAGGCGGACAAGTTCCAGGGGAAGTCGAGGGACTTAGAGTATACAGAATCAGAAGATACTCCCCCGTGGGTTTTTCTTTTTCTTTTTGATTTCTGTTTGCTTCCCCCACCTATTTTTTCCCTTTCTTTCTTTCTCTTTTTCTTCTCTTTTTTTTCTTCCTTTTTTCTTTTTTCTTTTTCTCTTTTCTTTCCTTCTTTCTCTCTCTTTTTCTCCTTTTCCCAATACAACTTGTTTTTGGCCACTCTGCACTGAGCAAAATGACTAGAAGGAAAACCTCACCTCAAAAGAAAGAATCAGAAACAGCCCTCTCTCCCACAGAGTTACAAAATCTGGATTACAATTCAATGTCAGAAAGCCAATTCAGAAGCACTATTATACAGCTACTGGTGGCTCTAGAAAAAAGCATAAGGGACTCAAGAGAGTTCATGACTGCAGAATTTAGATCCAATCAGGCAGAAATTAAAAATCAATTGAATGAGATGCAATCCAAACGAGAAGTCCTAACGACGAGGGTTAACGAGGTGGAAGAACAAGTGAGTGACATAGAAGACAAGTGGATGGCAAAGAGGGAAACTGAGGAAAAAAGAGACAAACAATTAAAAGACCATGAAGACAGATTAAGGGAAATAAACGACAGCCTGAGGAAGAAAAACCTACATTTAATTGGGGTTCCCGAGGGCGCCAAAAGGGACAGAGGGCCAGAATATGTATTTGAACAAATCCTAGCTGAAAACTTTCCTAATCTGGGAAGGGAAACAGGCATTCAGATCCAGGAAATAGAGAGATCCCCCCCTAAAATCAATAAAAACAATTCAACACCTCGTCATTTAATAGTGAAGCTTGCAAATTCCAAAGATAAAGAGAAGATCCTTAAAGCAGCAAGAGACAAGAAATCCCTGACTTTCATGGGGAGGAGTATTAGGGTAACAGCAGACCTCTCCACAGAGACCTGGTAGGCCAGAAAGGGCTGGCAGGATATATTCAGGGTCCTAAATGAGAAGAACATGCAACCAAGAATACTTTATCCAGCAAGGCTCTCATTCAAAATGGAAGGAGAGATAAAGAGCTTCCAAGACAGGCAGGAACTGAAAGAATATGTGACCTCCAAACCAGCTCAGCAGGAAATTTTAAGGGGGACTCTTAAAATTCCCCTTTAAGAGGAAGTCCAGTGGAACAATCCACAAAAAAAGAAGGACTGAATATATATCATGATGACACTAAACTCATATCTGTCAATAGTAACTCTGAACGTGAATGGGCTTAATGACCCCGTCAAAAGGTGCAGGGTTTCAGACTGGATAAAAAAGCAGGACCCATCTATTTGCTGTCTACAAGAGACTCATTTTAGACAGAAGGACACCTACAAACTGAAAATAAAAGTTGGAGAACCATTTACCATTCAAATGGTCCTCAAAAGAAAGCAGGGGTAGCCATCCTTATATCAGATAAACTAAAATTTACCCTGAAGACTATAGTGAGAGATGAAGAGGGACACTATATCATACTTAAAGGATCTATCCAGCAAGAGGACTTAACAATCCTCAATATATATGCCCCGAATGTGGGAGCTGCCAAATATATAAACCAATTAATAACCAAAGTGAAGAAATACTTAGATAATAATACACGTATACTTGGTGACTTCAATGTAGCTCTTTCTACCCTCGATAGGTCTTCTAAGCACAACATCTCCAAAGAAACAAGAGCTTTAAATGATACACTGGACCAGATGGATTTCACAGATATCTACAGAACTTTACATCCAAACTCAACTGAATACACATTCTTCTCAAGTGCACATGGAACTTTCTCCAGAATAGACCACATACTGGGTCACAAATCGAGTCTGAACTGATACCAAAAGATTGGGATCGTCCCCTGCATACTCTCAGACCATAATGCCTTGAAATTAGAACTAAATCACAACAAGAAGTTTGGAAGGACCTCAAACACGTGGAGGTTAAGGACCATCCTGCTAAAAGATGAAAGGGTCAAACAGGAAATTAAGGAAGAATTAAAAAGATTCATGGAAACTAATGAGAATGAAGATACAACCGTTCAAAATCTTTGGGATGCAGCAAAAGCAGTCCTGAGGGGGAAATACATCGCAATACAAGCATCCATTCAAAAACTGGAAAGAACTCAAATACAAAAGCTAACCTTACACATGAAGGATCTAGAGAAAAAGCAGCAAATCGACCCGACGCCCAGCAGAAGAAGAGATTAATTAAAATTCGAGCAGAACCCAACGAGATCGAGACCAGAAGTACTGTGGAACAGATCAACAGAACCAGGAGTTGGTTCTTTGAAAGAATTAATAAGATAGATAAACCATTAGCCAACCTTATTAAAAAGAAGAGAGAGAAGACCCAAACTAATAAAATCATGAATGAGAAAGGAGAGATCACTACCAACACCAAGGAAATACAAACGATTTTAAAAACATATTTTGAACAGCTATTCGCCAATAAATTAGGCAATCTAGAAGAAATGGACACATTCCTGGAAAGCCACAAACTACCAAAACTGGAACAGGAAGAAATAGAAAACCTATCTCCCTAAGTCTTTTTTTGTAAAGATTTATTTATTTATTCATTATTTATTCATTCATTCATTCATGAAAGACACAGAGAGAGGGAGAAAGCAGAGACACAGGCAGAGGGAGAAGCAGGCTCCATGCAGGGATCCTGAATCAGGATTCAATCCCGGGACTCCAGGATCATGCCCTGAGCCAAAACCAGACACTCATCCACTGAGCTACCCAGGCATGCCTCTGTAAGTCTTTATATCTAAATATATTGCAGTTCTGTCACTGCTTTTAAGTTAATTTATTATGGAATAAAAAGAAAAAAAGAGAGAGAACTACATTTATCAGTGAAACTCTTTTATGCATGATATTTAATGTATTTTTCTTTTTCAGTCATGTTTTTTTCTAGTTGCCAACAAAAATAAATAAACATTAACAACATCTTGTGAAGTATCTATATTCTCCTTCAATATCTTAAGGTACACAATTATCAAAGTTGATACTGAACACAAACAAATTGATACAATTCAGTACTCTGATAAAATCCATTCTCAAATAAGTTAAACTGCATGCATTACAAGTTTATGTTCCATAGCATCTTCAATATAAACTGTATACCAAAATGGCTCTTCAAACTTAAAAAGTGCAATTACAAAGTGCAAAAACAGCAAAGATAAAAATGCACTATCTTACATTTAGCATTAACCAGTTTGAATAACAGACATGTTTTAGATAAAATTATTTATTGCTAAAACATTAAAAATGTACAGTGCTTTGCAAGTCGTTACTCCCCTTCTCCCATATGAATAAGAGTAGAAAAAAAACCAGAAAATATTGGGCAGGGGGTAAACACATCTTTTTCCCTTCAAAGTCTACAGAGTGGTTATTGGAGTAAAAATGACAATGTGGATCACAGATGAGCTTTTCAAAACAAGATTACTGAATTCAACAGAAAGTAGAAACTAGTGCATCTGTTTCCAGCATAAATATTGATTTGGTGCCTGAAAGCATTGTTCTCAGTATGTTGGATATATAGGCTCTGCTACAAATATATATAGTGAGAATCTGTAAGATAAGGAAGATAGACTAAATATTAATCCAAATCTTTCCATTGTTTGTAGGAAATCTGAGCTGATGGCAATCATCTGCTATGTTTGCTCAGCATTATCCTCATTAAAACAATTATTTCTGTCTTTTTTCATCCATAGAACGCAATCTAGGTCATATTTTTTAAAAAAATTTTAATATACATCTATAAAGATTTAGCTTTTACAGGGACTAGTTTTTTAAGCACCCTTAAGTAAGGATTAAAAACATTGCAAACTAGATACAATTAGTTATATGATATGAAATAGGATGTTTAAGACAAACCAATATAACTCCCTTTTTGTAAATATAATAAGTGAATTGCTGTTGATTTCTCAGTAAACTGATTTTCTTCGACACAGTCAAGATCACTTAAAATAGGCAGACTTCATTTACAGCTAGTAGGTGTCAATAACAATGTGAGGGACTTAAAATGTATTCTTACACAGCACATTTGATTTTAGCTATATTAAATGTGAGACAGAAATGTGCTTTTAGATCTTCCTGAATTTTTATTTTGTTTCTCTGTTTCTCGTTTTTAAGTTTTACATATTTTTGAAAGAGCAACAAATGACTAATTCTATGATTGAGCTTATGTGTACAGGTGTGTATTTGCATATGAATTTGTATATTTTATACATTTGTATATTTTTATGTATGTATATATTACACACACACACACACACACACACACACACACACACGCATGTGTTTTTCCCCTATAGTAAGGGACCAGATCCAGCACTTTGGAAAATAGTCACATGAAACACCGGAGGACAAATGAAGGGATACATATGAAGGCAAGTCCTGGCACCTGGCACTTCAGAAGTCAGGCATTGTTTACTTTCTCGTTGTTGCCCTAGCACCTGCCAGGAAAAAAAGATGAAAAAAAGAATAGTCCCTCCCAGCAAGGTGTGTGATCCTGAGAGACTCTACTCAAAGGTCTAGTATTCAATGAGGCAGTCTCCCCTGAGACCGGGAGATGCTGAGAGCTGCAGCTCCTTCTGTGGTTGCCCCAAGTACCCTTAGGAACTCACTGAGACCATGGGCTCAAACACAAGAGAAACTTTTGTCTCTTCCCCCCAAAACAAACAAAAGACAGAAAACCGGGCCCTAGATTCATCCCAGTCTCCAAAAGAAGGCATGGTTAAGTCTCTAAATTTTTAAAACTTTTCAAATGAATTTGTTCATTTGGGAAAATATTATTCCACTTCCTCCTTCAAGATATCATTTTACAAATATATCTTTAAATTGTAGAAGGAGCTACTTACTGCATTGTTTTACACTAAAACTCTCTTACAGGGCAACCCTGGTGGCTTAGCAGTTTAGCGCTGCCTTCAGCCCAGGGTGTGACCCTGGAGACCCAGGATCAAGTCCCACATCAGGCTCCATACATGGAGCCTGCTTCTCCCTCTTCCTGTGTCTCTGCCTCCCTCTCTCTCTCTCTCTCTGTGTCTCTCATGAATAAATAAATAAAAAATCTTAAAAAATAAAAAATAAAAATAAAACTCTCTTGCAAAGAAGATGAAATAACTGTATTTCCATGTTTGGACAATATATAGAATTACTGTCTTACGCTTTAAAATGGTGACCAATCCCTCAAATTCATCAAATTTTGGACTACTATATAATCTTAGGATTCTTAATCAAAGTCCCTATGAAAATAAATACTCATAAAAAGAAGCCCAAATTTTGGCTCCAAGTGTGGATATCTTTTTTATTGTCTCATAAAAAAGAAAAGAAAAGAATCTGAAAAGAAAAGAAACGTCTGAAAAGAAAAGAAAAGAAACATCACGAAGCTATATAATACCTACTATTTACATAAAAGGTGGTATAGAATGAAGTTGTCAACTCATTTAATGCAAGGAGAATCTGCAGATCGGTGACCAGTACCCACAGGAGCCATGAGTTGGAATAAGGAACTGCCCTCTCGGCGTACAGGACAGTAGACAGTAAACCTGGAGTCACAGCGGAGGATGGGGGTGGAGGGACACAGCCCTCCCTGGATTAGTAAGTTCCCCACATGTAGCTTCTCCTCAATTCCCATTGCATTAGTGTTTTAATACAGAACACAGTGGTGCCAAGTCATACATCGAAGTCCGATATGGTGAATCCAATTATCGTTTGAGGGGTAGGAAAATCTACTTGTTGAGTTGATTTAACCATATATTTAAGCTTAACAAAAATCCATCATTTGTGACACTTCCTGAGCAACAAACTGGATGCCACTCACTCCTAGGCATTGCATACCTGGCAACTGAGTGAAAGCGTTTAGTCCAGGAAATTATTTCTTACAAAAATATCAACTTTTTTTCTATATTATTTGTTTTATATACATTATACATTAGCAAATATTCTGTCAAAAATAAAACAAAAAATAAAAAAATGTGTCTATATTAAAAATGCACCATTGTTGACTTAACACATGATCCAACATAAATATTATTAATAAAATAGGAATACTAACATAACCAGGCATGCTGCGCATCCCTGTCTGTAGCTTGATGGCACCATTCAGACTTGTGGCAATGCTGGATCCCCTGATGTCACCCTTTTGTATTCCTGCTTTGGTTCTTTACTTTTTCGATTTCTGTACCTAGAAATATTCAGAAATGAAACTGTTAGCTCTCTAGTTAATAGTAGTAAGAACAAAGGATGCTAACAAAATAAACCAATAAATGGACTCAAAAGGTACATCAGCATAGTGTTTCCAAAGTGACAAAGGTCAACAAGTTTAGGTTGGACAAGAGAAAAAAAAGGAGGGGGAAAGGGGTAGTGTTCTGTGGTCAAACAATTGCAGGGAGTGCAGGGAATAGTGAAAGAAAGATAAAGGATTTCTCAGACACTAACATGTCATGAAAATTATACAATTCCAGAAGAGCATGTGACCAAATTTAAGCCTGAGCCTTTTGTTCTCTCTCTCTCTCTCTCTTTCTCTTTCCATTTCCTTCCCTTCTCTCTCTCAATTTCTCCCTCCCTCCCTCCCTCTTCTCTTTCTTTTCTTTCTTTCTTTCTTTCTTTCTTTCTTTCTTTCTTTCTTTCTTTCTTTCTTCTTTCTTTCTTTCTTTTTCTTTCTTTCTTCTTTCTTTCCTTTCTTTCCTACTAAAAACACACCATTTGTGGGGCGCCTAGGTGGCTCAGTCAGTTAAGCTTCTGACTCTTGATTTCGGCTCTGGTCATGATCTCAGGGTCGTGAGACTGAGCCCTGCATCAGGCTTGAACGCTGGACATGGAGTCTAACACTCTGCCCTTCCCTGCCCCTTCTCTCTCTCTCTCTCTCTCTCTCTCTCTCTCTCTCTCTCTCTCTCTTTCTCTAAGACAAAAACCCCAAGCCCCAGTATTTGAATATCACACATCATTACATTCTACCCATCACACTGATATAATGCCATCACCAATAGCAATTAGAATAGCTGCTTGAGTTTAGGTGGCTGACAGTGCCCCAAGGGCTATATATGCATTATTCCTTCTATTCTCATATTTACCGGTATCATCCTCATTTTACATATGATGACAGTGAAGTACAAATGGATCACATGAGCTGGCCAACTTTTTCCAGCTAGGATTCATAAATTTGTCACCATTCTGAATCTTCATTCATTCATTTGTTCAAGCAATCCTCCTAATATTTTGTGTTCATTGTTTACCCATTCTGGAGATGAAGCACGTAGCCCTGAGGAAAGTGCATGCTTATGCTTAGTGGAGGAACACAATTTGAAAGCTTTTGTTGAGACACAGTTCTGCCACTTGCCAACTCTCTGAGCTGGGGCATGTGGATTTACCTCCTTGAGTCTCATTTCCCCCATCCTTATAAAGGAAAGGATTATAGCCAAAGACCTTTTAGGGGTATTTTAGTTTTAATAGTATTCAGTTTTGTCATCATAATTCATCAGGGAGGCACTATAATTTGATGAATGCTTAGAATCAAACACAGGCAAAATAAATTTAATCTTACAAAAGTAGCACACTCTCAGATCTTCAAAAGTAGAAGTGTATTACTTTCAGCAAACAAATAAAATGAAACCCATTCAAATCTACACTGAACAGGCACCTGGGTGGCTTAGTTGATCAAGCATTCGAGTCTTGATTTTGGCTCAGGTCATGATCTCAGGGTTGTAGGGTTGCGAGATCAAGTCCCACCTCAGGTTTTTCTCTCTCTCCTTCCCTGTGTCCCACCCCACAAGCACACTTATGCTCTCTTTCTAAAAAATAAAACAAAAAACTGTACTGAAAAATTTGTATCAGTTACAAAATGAGACGGATTTCATGGAGACATTTCAAAGCAGCTGTTATTAACAAATTTACATTTTTCCATGCCCTAGTCCTAACCCTTAAACACCGCCAGTCTGATATACTGTCAGCAATATCAATGCTCGTTGTCTTTCTTTCTCAGTTATCAGCCTATATCAGTGTAGCATTGTACATCAGGTTGGAGTGTGAATGTTCTGGGGGACTGATCTGATGATTTTTTTAAAGTATGTTCTTAACAACTGTCTGGAAACTTCTACTAGTCTGCCTTAAATTTTAAGATCCTAAACTCTAGGGTTATTAATTTACAAAGCACATCTTTTATGAAATACAAAATTTGACCTCATAAATTAAATACAATTGGTTGAGTATAGCATAGACATCATGCTTTATGGTTTCTTTAACATGTATTATAACACTCAATATTGATCCTGTCACTAATGCAGGGGAGGATTTCTATCTGTATACAATAGAGGAAGGAACTGATACTCCAAGCTGGACTAGTATAAGGTTATAAGGTAAGAAATAGCAGAGCTAACAGTAGAGTCTAATCCACACATTCTGCTGCTGAAACTTCTTTGTAAATATAGTCAGTGCAGAGTCCATCTTATCCCTTAAAATAATACTTTGTCCATAGTTTTACCCAGTTTGTAAGTCTGTATTGCATGAAAATAATTTATAGATGTAAAGTATAAAAAACACTGGCTTACCATCTGCAGAAGTAGTATAGGGAACCGGCGACTATGATAAGAAACAAGATAATGAGAATCACAGTCAAAGCCACATATTCTTTGCTCAAGGGCTGTTGGACAGTTAAATAGAAGTGCTCGCATCGGACACCAGTGTAACCCACTTCACACCTAAAGGAAAATATGAGAAAAAGATCAGTTATTCAAAAAAGAAATTATTATTATGAATTAGTTTTTGTAAGAACTAATCTCACACTGTAATGCAAGAAATCAACCAGGTTTGCCAAAAGTTGTAAAGAGGATTTCAAAGACTGACCTAAGTGCAGGGCCAGCTTCGATAAAGAGTTCCACGTAGTTCTCAGCTAAACCGCGGTGGTAATGGGACAGGCTAGCTCAGCTGCACGGGGCCCAGCAATCTACAGTGGTGCTTTGTCAGTTTTGTAGGTTTGAGCTGCCTTCTGTCTAAATCAGTGCAATGAATTCATAAAACAGGGCTTGGTATAGAGATCTAGTGGAGCTGCCATTTTGACAATATGAAGGAAGAATCAAAGCCCTTCCCCTTCTGCACCCCTGAAGTATCTGTATGATTTGAGAGCTACCGTTTGTTCCCTAACTTTAAAAAACTCACTTAATAATAGTGCATATAACTGCATGCTAATAGTATGTATAAACTGCCCATAGGTCAACTTCAAAAAATATTAGAGAACATAAGTTTTTAAAAAACACTGGTTTTTGCTGGTTTTTGCCATATTACCTGCAGTACGTTTGACTCATGTCCACCAGGTAGATGCATTGTCCATGCAAACAGTAGCCATTCATGTCAGAGCCACACTTTATTATTGACACTTGAGCCACACGTGGGTTGTCTTCTATCTGAACTGTGAAGGAAATGGAAAGTTGGATATATTTTGCGGCTTTGTTTAAGGCATTAATCTTAAACCTTTCCACATAATAAATGCTGAGCTACCCCAGCAAAGCAGGTCAGGTGCCAATCAGTTGAGGAGAATTTTTAGGACTAGGAAGTCCCTCTAGTTATGACATTCTCTACACCACTAAACAAACATTTGACCCCTAAGGAAAATATCCAACGGACTAAACAAACAAAATAAGACCTAGGGACCTAGGTCACAAAAGAGAACCTTGAAGGATAGAAAAGACAAGTTTAAGACACTCAAAAATTATTATCCTTAGTTACTCAGTTACCCCAAGTTTGCCTGATGTTTTTTCAAATCTCAAAATAATTCTGCAGTCTCATTATTCCAAAATCAATTGCAAACTGAATCCATTAATTAATTCCAGAGAGCATTTTTTTTTTAGATTTTATTTACTTATTCATGAGAGACACACAGAGAGATGAAGAAGCACAGACAGAGGGAGAAGCAGGCTCCCTGCAGGGAGCCCGATGAAGGACTGGATCCCCACACGGGGATCATGCCCCGAGCCAAAGGCAGACTTTCAACCTCTGAGACACCCAGACGTCCCCAGAGAGCATAATTCTATACCGGGTTTTAAGCCAGGAATGCATGTTTTGGTGGGTGGTCCCAAATTTTTGAGGCTACCGTCAAAGAAACCAATTAAAGCCTCCCCAACATCTATAACCATGAGAACTGAACTAGACAAATATTGACAGGTGCCTGGGTTAGACAATACAACAATGAAAATAGAAGCCTCATTAGAAATAGTGTTGCAGCCTATATGTAAAATTCACTTTAGGATGATTTAATTACTAAAATGTGAAGGATCCTTATGAAATAATCAAACAGTAGCATCTTGATTGTAATACTCCTGCTCCAAAAAACAAACAAAAGACTTCTAGAGAGCCCAATGATGAAGGAGGACAAGAGAACAAAAATACCGTTCAGAGGGGTACACATACCCCAATTTTTTTTAAGATTTTATTTATTCATGAGACACACAGAGAGAGGCAGAGACATAGGCAGAGGGAGAAGCAGGCTCCATGCAGGGAGCCCGATGCGGGACTCGATCCCGTACCCCAGGGTCATGCCCCAAGCCAAAGACAGCCACTCAACCACAAAGCCCCCCAGGCGTCCCCACACCCTGATGTTTATAGCAGCATTATCTACAATAGGCAAACTCTGGAAACAGACCAAGTATCCACCAACCAATGAATGGATTAAAAAGTGGTATCTATATATGATGGAATATTATTCGGGCATAAAAAAGTGAAATCTTGCCATTTGCAATGACATGGATGGGGCTAGAGAGTATTATGCTAAATGAAATAAGCCAGAGGAGGACAAATACCATATGATTTTGCTCATATACAGAATTTAAGAAACAAAACCAATGAGCAAAGGGAAAAAAATACAGAGAGAGAGAGAAAGAGACAAACCAAGACAGACTCATGACTACAGAGAACAAACTGATGGTCACCAGAGGGGAGGTGGGTGTGAGGATGGGTGAAATAGAGGATGGGGATTAGGAAGGCACTTGTGATGAGCACTTGGTGTTATATGGAAGTGTTGAGTCACTATTTTGTACACCTGAAACTAATATTACATTGTATGTTAACTAACTGGAATTTAAATAAAAATTTTTTAGAAACCAAGTACATAGTGGAGGCATAACAAAAGAGGAAGAGATGGTGAAATCATTGTGGGAAATACCCTGGTTCCTTGGGATAACTCTTGACTCAATACTGACACTGAATCTAAAGTAGATCTCCCTTGAAGCACATCCAGAGTCCTTCCAGGGGTCCCCAAGAGAAACAGGCAGCACATAACTTCTCTTTGTATTCCTATGCCTAAGCGGGTTTTTGATATGTATTAAGTACTCCATAAAAGCTTTCTGAACAAATATTGTAACCAGAAAGAAAGGGCATCATTTGTTCCTTTCACCAAAAAATAGCAACGAAGTATATTGATTATCTACTTTGCACAAAGTTTCAATTTCCTGTTTTGCCTGGGATCCAATCTCTAACACTGGTTTCCCAGCAAAACCAAGAGAAATAAGAATCTGATTTTCGTTGTTTCCTATCTCTTTAATATCCAATCTTTCTATATAACTAGATGCCCAGTCCCTCTCCCACCAGTTATTCTTTTATATTATTTTTCCAGATCACTAGTTCATAAGGATGTAAAAAAAAAAAGGTTTTAACACAGCGGCTATCCCCCTCTTTTCTCTACACTGTCACATATTCATCTTTGGGTACATTTCCATTAAGAACCTGTGAGGCCAAGAAACGCCGGGACACCTGCACCCCGATGTTTCTAGCAGCAATGTCCACTATAGCCGAACTGTGGAAGGAGCCTCGGTGTCCATCGAAAGATGATGGATAAAGCAGATGTGGTCTATGTACACAATGGAATATTCCTCAGCCATTAGAAACGACAAATACCCACCATTTGCTTCAACGTGGGTAGAACTGGAGGGTATTATGCTGAGTGAAGTGAGTCAATTGGAGAAGGACAAACATTATATGGTCTCATTCATTTGGGGAATATAAAAATTAGTGAAAGGGAAAGGAGAGAAAATGAGTGAAAATATCAGTGAGGGAGACAAAACATGAGAGACTCCTAACTCTGGGAAATGAACAAGGGACAGTGGAAGGGGAGGCGGGTGGGGGGTTGGGGTGACTGGGCGACGGGCACTGAGGGGGGCACTTGACGGGATGAGCACTGGGTGTTATGCTATATGTCGGCAAATTGAACTCCAATAAAAACATAAAAAAACAAAAAAGAACCTGTGATCCTCTGGTGCAATGCTGGCAAAGCGGCTTACCTAATGCCGTGCAATTATCTTCGGATTCTCCCGGCATGCAGGAGGGAATCACAGTGGTGCTGAGAACCGCTTGGAGAAGGTGGAAACCTATTTATGGGGGAAAACCAAATATATAAACAGTGCTTCAAGGAAAAAAAATTGATCAGATTTCCATGTAACCACAGTACTATAGGGTTGTTTCAATTATTTCAAGAATTCAATCCATCAAAACAAGAAAATAAACTAATTTGTGAAAACAGGCACATAATTGTCTCATATGGGTAATATAAGAAATAGTGAAAGGGATTATAGGGGAAAGGAGGGAAAATGAGTGGGAAAAATTAGAAAGGGAGACAAAACATGAGAGACTCCTAACTTTGGGAAATGAACAAGGAGTAGTGGAAGGGGAGCCTGGCGGGAGGATAGGATGACTGGGTGAAGGGCACTTGACCGGATGAGCACTGGGTATTATACTATATCTTGGCAAATCAAACTTCAATAAAAACATATAATTAATTAATTAATCAATTAATTAATTAATTAATTAACTAAATCTTTTAAAAAAGAAAAAAGAAAAAAAATAAAAAAGGAAACAGTCACATAATTGAGAATAAATGTCCCCCCCCCCACCTCCCTGTCCAAGGGTGAAAACCTTGGCATAATATTCCTAGTTACAGATTTGACCTGCTCTAAATGGCAAAGATCTGATTTTGAAGTTTGCTATTTCTGAGCTTAGCAATTGAACTTGTAGAATTTTCACTATTTTGCCTCATGATGTATTCAGAGCAATGTTCCAAGGGAAGGGCTCAGTAGGGATGCCTGGGTGGCTCAGTGATTGAGCATCTGTCCTTGGCTCAGAGCGTGATCCTGGAGTCCCAGATCAAGTCCCACATCAGGCTCCCCACAGGGAGCCTGCTTCTCCTCTGCCTGTGTCTCTGTCTCTTTCTCTCTGTGTCTCTCATGAATAAATAAATAAAATCCTAAAAAAAAAAAAAAGGCTTCAGTAAAACTCAAGTTCCTTTTACAGTGACAACTAAACAAGACTCAACCTTAAATGTGTTCCTTATTAATCTAAACGCCTAGGTTACTCTTCGCATTGTATTACACACAAAAGTAGATTTTAATGGACAAAATGTAATCTAAGTCAGATCAGATCTAAGATGGGAATGAAGGTCCATGCTACATGAGCCACTAAGCCCCAGGACCCAGTTTCTGTCAGCCCAGTAAAAGCTGGAATGAGGTGTTCTATCGTGTGTTCACCACTTGAAAGATAAATATTGGAAAACAGGCTCCAGAATGACTCAAGTAATTTCTGAATTGCCTGAAAGCATAAGAAGAATCCTTCTAATTGCATGGATGTTTCCTGACTGCTTCTGTTTAGGGGCTGGGCACTTGCACTTCACCCCTCTTTCTGGTCAATATGAGTAACTGTTATATAAATACTAACAGTGGTGGGAGCATTAGTTGCAGTAGTTGGCAGCAGTTAACATTTCGTGAACATGCTTATCTAATGGTACTTTCCTCATTATCTCTGCTATAATACCCAAATTCTTCAGTTGATTGTCATCTTTTTCTTATCTCCTTGAAAATTTTCATAAAATTAGAATTCTATCTGAAGGGGAAAATGTATTAAACCATTAATAACTATTCATCTTGAGGTCAAAATAGAATATTAATTTCTGGGCACCTGGGTGGCTCAGTGGTTGAGTGTCTGCCTTTGGCTCAGGTCATGACCCCGGGGTCCTGGGATCGAGTCCCACATCGGGCTCCCCAGGGAGCCTGCTTTTCCCTCTGCCTGTGTCTCTGCCTCTCTGTGTCTCTCATGAATAAGTAAATAAAAGCTTTAAAAAAAGAAAAAAAAAACATTTCGTGAACATCGACTATATACAGGTGTGGTTCTTATCCTTTTTATCTATATTATCTCATTTAATCCAGTCAGTGACTGTTAACCCCACCAGACGTGAGAGAAAACTGAGACTTAGAAAGAGTTAAACTAACTTTCGCAAGAGTGAGTAGCAATGTTGTTAATGCGGCACATTATATAACTTGGACATGGGCAATAATACTGGAATATAATGGCCATTATACAAACAAACCAGGGTAAATATAATTGAAGCAGGGTAATTTAATCCCATAGGAAGACAACAGAGTATGATGGAAAGGCAATCCTGGGAGAAAGCTTGCATTATGTGATTTTGGAAAAATTAATTACCTTCTCTGGATCTCAGTTTCCTCTACCTTACAGAGTTTGGGCGTTGAGTTAAATGGAAATGATATTTTTTCAAAATGCTTAACATACCAGAGACTCCCACAAATGTTCCATAAGACTCACGATCTGATTAGGCCTCTAGTTTTAGCAGTGTATGCGGGTAGTTCCCTCTACTGGTCTGTAACAAGATTACAAATCTCTTTGTAATTGGGTATTTTAATGTGACTGAATCCACAAAATAAAGGATTTTGTTTTATTTTTTCTCAATCAGAAGGGACGTGTATATGTTAAGCATATTGCATATTACTGAGGTGCTAAAAACTAAATTATACATCAGCATCATAGCTCATAATTTCATAATGTTTCAAACTTGACCCTTAGAACAATCCTGTGAACTAGTTGTTAACCCCAACCTCAGTGCAATTAAATTAAATGTCTTGTCCAAGACCAAGTATGTATTGACCTCAGAAAATAAGAGTCAGGAATCTACCTTTGGACAGCAAGTCTCATAATCTTTCATTGATTTGACAGTATGACTTGGAAAAGTTTAGATCTCCTCCCCACCCCATATTTCTCCTATAACATATACTGCTTCCATCGGTCTTAAAGGGAAAAAAATAACCATCTTTCTTAAATGACAAAAAGAAAAAAGGTTAAAGTTTGTATTTCGTTGTCATATGAACAGAGATAGAAAAAGATGACTTTGTCTATGAAGCTTTTTATGGAGAGTAGGATGGATTCTCATCCAAGCCAATTTTGTTCTACTTCTCAATATAATTCGGCCTTGCACTTTCTCGATCGAAGACTTAAACCCTTTGACTTACACCATCCGCTCAACGCCAGCTGGGGCTCTAGATGTATGTTTTAACATCCTGACGTTCCTATGCCTTCACGCTTCTCCAACTGAAGAAGGATTTGGCGAAAACATTAGAAATTCTCCTGCCAGCCCAGGCTGCGGTGCAAACACACCTGTGAAGCTCATTTCTCTATCTCTTGTGGAAATCAGACACTAGCCTTTCCTGTTTGGATTTGCTGACAATGGCAACCTGCAATTGTGACAGAATTCAGCTAATTGTTTTGGGCTGTTGCTTCTTCATCTTTTTTTTTTTTTTTTTTAGGTTTTTAGTGTTTGTTAGCTTTCCCACTGGTTCCACCTGGTCAAGCCACAGATGAAATATTTCTTTGTGAATTAAAGAATGCTCAGTGCAGGGTGTGCCTCCACAAAAACTGGGCTCTCCTAACCTGTGACGCTCCCTTGGACATCGTCCATGGCTTGGGGATGGTTTCTATGAGACTGGCTGCATGAATTCAACATCCGGGTCTTTTACAGATGAAACTGTAAATAATTTTAAATATTTTCCTCAAATGAAAAGCTGCAGTTCCATCGTGGATGTACATGACCAATAGAATAGCAAAATCAGTTTTAAATCTTGCATCCCGCTGCACAGCTCTATTGCTTTGAGTGATTCTCAAACTTCCATCAACTTCATCTCTGCTCCAGGCCCTTGAAAACTCAAGTAAAACAGTAAATGGAGCTGATCAAAATATTCAGAGTCAACCCATGGAAAATTCTGATACCCACCACCTCATCACCCTTAAGAATCACTACTCACTATTTTAAAATCATATAGGCAAGGAATATATGGTAAAGTCATATGCACATATTTCCTTAATCTTACAGGTTTTTTTCATGACGTTAGTGTTATTTGAACAATAATGGTCTATGATTCAATTGCAAATATTATATCTGAGATTTTGATCCTCAACCACGGGTCCCTGCTAAAAACATTATTCACTATGATATTAAGGATTTTGGATAGTGTCCATGTGTCAGAAAACAGGCCTGGCGGCAAGCTCCACATTAATAACTAAAGTATAGAGGAATTGTGTGCAAGGTGGTATGGGGGGAATGATCTATAAACTCAAAATTGGCTGTTGAAACTCTGTTTCAATAATGCAATAAAGGTCAAAATTCCTCTAGAGGCCATTATTCCTGTCAAATTTCCAAATGCGTTTGAGGAATTTGAAGCACACTTCTACATCTCTCTGCCTTCTTCACCTTTCAGAGATTGTGTTTCAATGAAATCTCCAATGTGCCAACAGGAAGTGGTACAGATGACTCACAGGATACAAATCAACCTCTACTCTGTGAGTCAGGACCAAGCCTACATCCTTACACAATATTGGGGCACTGTGCGTGGGAGAGGTCGAGGATCATCATCCGAGGGGGGTAGCTCTAAATGCCGTGGGCCCTGAGGCGCTAAGAAGTGCTTGCCCAAGAGTCAGGAGAAATGCCAGATGTAGGAAATGTCCTTATTTCACAGTTTCTTTTGACCTTGCTTCCTTACGATTACATGGAGGTGCTCACTAGAAGGAGGCTGGGATTAGCTGACAAAGCCGATTCTGCAAAGTCAATTGGCACTTCTCAGGGATAAAACGACTCTTCTGAGTGACAATGAGGCAGATAAAAATGAGCCCAGAGAAAATGAGATCAGTTACAGAATGAAAGGAATGCACCCTATTTTCCTGACTTAAACTTTTAGAATATTTAGACCAGAACAGGAAACTTATAATGAATCATAATATTTGCCCAGCCCAAACAGGTAGAAAAATCCACTTTGTTCACGCTTTTGATGTGGTAACATGCCTCCCCTGCTCTTGGACTGTTAGCTTTCTACCTTCTTCCATGGCAGTCTATAATTTTAGGATTTGTCTGTAACGCAGGAGGCTTGTTAGGACCTGTACACTTGCAAGGAGTCAAATGTCTTCAACATTTCCAGATGCCTTCCTATTTAAAATTAAAATCCACTATTAGAAAAGGCCTGGCTTCACCTTGGCACATCAGATCCTGAAAAGAACTCCTGTTAGTGTTTCTTAATAACAGCCTAATTTTCAGAGA